GAGAGAGAGAGAGGGGGGGAGGTAGAGGTAGGACGGGGCGAGTGGGATGTTACAACGCCTCTCTCGCCCTTTACGCCGCGAGCTACGCTGACCTTCCAAACTCACGCGCCGGGTGCAACGCCGATGATTTGTCTTCGCTGACGTCGTTAGCGCCGTCCGACAAGGATGGAAATGTTGTGTTAAAATTAGTGTCGCGTGGAGAGCTGGCTATCCCTTTCCTCCCTCCGAGCAGACGCTAATGTGTCCCCCAGCCGTGGATTTATATTACGCGCGCGGTACGGCTTCCGGGTAATCGGAAATTGTGGCCTGCCTTCGCCGTTGCTATCGGAATTTTTGGTCGATGTATGTGCATACGTTAGAGGCAGACATGGCGACATGGAGGGATAGAGTTTGCCGCCGATATTCAGTCACTTTTTACAAGACTGTCAGATTCGGATTATTTAGTATCGTATTAAAAAAAATGATCTCGGAAAAGTCAGGCAAATAATCAATACGTAACAGTTCGGTCGCGGACATCATGAAAGTTTGTGGATGCCACGGACATCGATTGGTCCGGAGAAGTTTGCGATGTCGCAAAAAAAGGCCGACTTTACTCTCTCGAAGAGTTTTCGAAAAGTAATCTCGATTTTCGGAAAAAAGTAAAGTTTAAGGGACACCATCCTTTTCTGTAATCAGTAAAATTCTTTTCAAACACTTTTAGTTCGCAAGCGATTAAAGCGACCGGCAAGAATAGAACCGGGTACGAACAACGAGAGCGTCGAAAGCTTCGGCGGACTGGTTAATTCCCGGAACTTCGAACGTGTTCGAACGTCAGATAATCGGTGTCAGTACCTATCGAAACATCTGCCGTAACATCGATATCCCACGAGGCAGTTGTTGTCCGGACATCGATTGTACTGAGCGATATCGCGCTACGTTAAAATTTATAGAAAAATGTTTCCGCAAAGCCAGTATTCTTAATAAGAAAAATTAGAATAAAATCGCACGTAGATTCCTCAAAGCTTCAATCCTCAGACGGAATACATGTGATATTTAAAAATATAAAAGGATTGAAATTAGTTAGCGTTAAACTCCATGAAGAGAGTGAATAGATAAAATATA